CTTGATAAACTCAATCTCTGCTGCTTATTTGTCCCTCTTAACAAACCAATGAAACGGATTTGATAAGGTATTCATCCAAGATTGCTATTTACAAACACTACTTTCTCAGTTGAAATTTAAACATTATTAAAAAAAAGTGTTTGCAATATACACCATCGAAACCAGTCTAGTGCTTCGCGTAAATATGACGTCACCACAATACTGCATTCCTTGTTACGTCAACTGTTTGTGACCGTTTATCTTAATTCATGTTTTTTTACATTTAATAAACGAGTTGTTTTGTCTTTGGGTAACCTCATTAAACTCAAGTCTGAGAAATTTTAACTGTATGTTCTAGATATTGTTTTATCTTTTAAGTTTTAAAATAGAGTTTGTTATTTTAAACTGCAAAAATGGGCTGAAGTAGGCGTTGGCCTCCGACACCAAAATTCTCCACTTTCTCCCATCTCGCGCCGAACCCAATCCCTGGCATGTAGCCCCCTAAGATCTTTATTCCGGCAACTTAGTGAGAATAGATCATCATCTAGGTGTCAATTGCATATACATGTGAGGACCCAGTGGTCATCGCCTACTTGGCCGTCCGAACAATCACTGGATGACTGAGTCGGATAAACTGCAAAAATATGTTGAATAAATTATATACTTAATATGTATTAAAATAACACTCGTTACTTGGCTTAATTTCATCATCGAATATAAGAAGCACTGAGATATTCGACACCGTTTTGTGAATTAAAAATTACGAAACCTCTTTGGTCTGTTAATGTTATTTTTCAACGAACACAATCACAGTCTTAGAAGCGGACCGTGTAAGGTTTCAGATTTTTGGAGCGTATTTTTAACAAGGTCTTAAATGAAATACAATATTGCAACAGAACATATTAATATCAGAGTTTTTTTTAAAGTACTCAATAATTGCATATATTTGAGAATCTCCACGTATCAACATAAAATACATTAAAAGGGTATTGGTAATTCTGAACTTTTTAAATCCTTTGAAAGACATTCAATCTATATTGAAATAGAGGGGACAACACGAGTTAAACTGTAATCTACGCATGTTGTGAAGTTCAGTGTACATAAGTAACAAACGCAACAACAGACGACGTAAGTCGGGGGTGGCGAACCTATAGGTATTAACATGGCAATCATAAATTTAACTTTTTGATTACTGGGAACACCTCTTGCATGGGAATCACTCGATTTTGAAGTGCATAATGAATTTTGTTATTTCACGAAATATTTAAGATGTTTCCTGTCTTACTTATTCTATAAATGCAAATAATTGGATGGATGATGGTTAAAAGGTATCTTAGAGAACGGCTATATGGATCTCGCTGACATTTGAAATAGAACTAGAACATAGGCTGGAAGAACACCGAGCTACTAATTAAGTTATTTTTTAAATCCAAGCGGACGTAGTCGCGGGCGACTGATATTTTTATAATAAGCAAGGACTCCTTGAAGATGTTGTTGGAACAAGTTTTAAATTCATATTTTAGATGCACTAATAATTTTATTCTGCATAAATTAGCTCCGAGTGTGTTATTGACGGTTATTATAAATTATTTATTGGTTTGTTCAAGACTTATTTCTTAACTTCGAAGGATGGACGAGATGCAGATGGATTAACGTTTGAACTTTGCTCTTTATAAGGCTGGTATTTAAAGTTTAGCGAACATGTTACAACATTATGATAAGTAGTGAATATTTTTAGTTATCTTTATAAATAAAAATATTGTATGTAAGAGGATTTGTAAAAGAGATAAGTAAATTCTGATCATACGACTGTTAAAGATGTATGGGAGAAGTAGTATTGTGCAGGCTCATCAAAGGAAAAAGGGCAATAAAATGATCTACATCGATAAATTTGAAATCTCATACAAAAATAAAAAGTAAATCGATTATTTTATAAAACTACGGACAATGAAATTGTTACTGAGCGACATGATGTTCGAACGCGTTGATGTTTTTTATATGGGTGGAGTTTTGAACTAAAGCTTTCGTGTCTTGAATGTTCGGGTTTTAATAAAAATCTTGAAAATGAAACACTATAAGGGAAGAATTTATGGCGATATATGAATTATTATTGGTCGAATCAATCTTTATTCAACTCTATTGGTTTAGACATTGCAAGGAGATACATAATATTAACTATTTTGTTTATTATACAACGCAATTTTTCATCGTTACAAGAATTTATTCTTCATATATCATTATTAAAAACTTTCACCTGTATAATGACTCTTAAAAAATGATATTCAAAATGCTTACCATTAATAGGCTTGAATAGATTTCCCGAGTTACGTTTACTACAAGATAGATATGCAACATAAATCTAAACAAACATAGACGCATTCACTTGCTCCAGTTTCGTTGAGTAGACACTGTTTTATATAGACTTAGGAAATTAATACTAACTTATAGACTTAAAATAACAGATGGAGTTACTCTTTAAGATGTAGTTATTACAGCCAAAAAAAAACAAGAATTTTATCTTGAAATTTCAAAGGATACATCTTACTTCTTACTAATATTGATGGATGGATGGTTGTTTATTTGAAGGTATCTCCGAAACGGCTCAACGGATCATGATGAAATTTGGCATATATGTAGAACATAGTCTGGAGGAACACAGGCTACTTATTTTGTTTTTCTTTTTAACTCGGCGCGGGCGACGGCTAGTAATATCATAAATGCGAATGTTTAAATGGATCTTCAGAACGGCTGCATGTATTCTGCTGAAATTTGGCCTAGATTTAGAATCCAGTCTGGAAGAACACATAGGCTACTAATTAGGTTTTTTCCGCGCGGACAGAGTCGAGGGCGACATCTAGTTTCTTATAAAAATTAAATACTCAAACTAATATTTGTTAATACATTAAAATATTTATAAAAGACTGATGTCGAAATAAGTCTGTATAGCACTTAAATATGTGTAAAAAGTTTCCTCCAAGTTGCAATACGCTGTGCATTCTTAACAGATTATAAAATGCTTATTATGCACAGATAATTAATGTAAATCGCGTGGATACGCATAGATTGTTATCTTATTGATGTACACAGAATTGTTAATTGGTCACTCAGGGAAGCCCTTATTGTTTTTTACCGCGAAATTCGACCATCGTGACATTCGTATTAATATATTATTTGGTTTCTACTTTTTCAAAGAGAATGTGTGGGATGGCCAAATGTTATAATTCAAGTGTACCTACAGTAAAAACCTACCTCTACAAAATCTATACTAAGGAGACTACTTAGCGTGGCAGTTATTCTCATACGTAGGAAAATAATTTATAAATAAATGTTGTTCAAAATTAAATCTGAGAGTACGGTAATTTGTTGGTAGCTTAATGAGAAACCATTTAGTCACAAAGAAATAAGCATAGTCATAGTATATGTAGATCATAATTCACTTCGTAAATTCATTTATTTCTCAATATTTTATCTGTGGCTATGGTAAATCGAACAATTTTTCATTCATGCAAGACGGGAACCAGTTGGTCTTCATCTAATTTAGCAAATTGTTATAATATGTTAGCCACAATTAACACATAAAATTATCGGACCCAGGCGTTCACCCTTCTTTGTCAGTATCTTGCCGCGGTGGGAGGGACCGTATAAAGCCTGCAAGCTTCAGACTTTGGTCACAACCAGTCTTCGACGTCGTACGGAGACAACATGAAGCTCACGGTAAGTTTTAAATTAACACGTGCAGTGCAAGTGTAGTGACGTATTCGTGTAAGATTAAAAAAAAATAGTTTACATTTTTTTTACAAAGGCGTTGAGATTTTGCAGCCAACATTTAAAAACATAGTTTAGTTTTTTGGATTTCTTTTTTTTCGGCCAATGCTATGTTAAAATTTATTTCTTTTTTTTGACGATTTTTTTGTGTGTTTAAATAATACATTTAATTTTAGAGTTTAGTTTGCTAATTTTTTGTATTAAAATTTACTACACATTAATGCATAAATAAAGAATGTTTACTTTTATAATCTACTCTAATAAATTTACTGAGCAAATTGTTTGTACAAATCGGAATCTCATGAGCACATTTTCCTTCATAACGTGTACATGTGTTTAATTTTCTTTCCGGGTTTTAGCTTCACTTATGTGGATAGATAATTTTAATTTCACTTTCTATCATCCGACTTCGTTATGAATGAAACAGATGAATCTTATCTTGAAAGTAATTTATATGATTTTAATATCTTAGACGAGGTATTAATTTGTGTAATAATATTCGTTTTATTTTTATTTTTTAGGGTTCCGTACCTCATAGGAAAAAAGCGGAACCCTTATAGGATCACTTTGTTGTCCGTCCGTCCGTCTATCAAGACCCTTTTTTATTTAAAAATATTAGCAGATTTTATTTGGGTATTTACTAATATTTCTTTTACCATTCCAACTAAGCTCTAAGCTTGTGCTAGGATATGGTTTACAATAGTCGAATGGCGAGATTCGAACCCCCGACCTCGTGGTCAGAAATCCGTACCCTTAACCATTGGGCTATTGACGATTAATTAATTTATTATTTGTATAATATATTTATATTATAACGTTTAATATTGATATTAGCATGACTGATATAACGCGTTAATTATAAATTACTTCTTATTTTTTTTTAATTATAGTAATACACTTCATTGGTAATAACAAAATGTCCATTCTCTTCAAAAACCATAGCTAACAATTTTTTTTATGTCAGATTTATGGCAGTGAAATTTAACGGTAAATGAAATCAAAAATTCTGATACTGGCTATATACTTTGCATAAAAAAGAAGTAAAAATTATAATGATATTAAAATGTTATTTAAAAATGTTGTATACGAATTAAAAAATTAAGATATTATCTGTGGGTGCGTAGATACGGTCTATTCCCGTTTACGCGTGCGGAATGAACAATTACGGATGCAAATATCAAACATTCGAACGGACGCAGTGATTGATGCGTAGCGTAATGCGTAATTTTTATTACGTGAGTTACGTTCTGTCAGATTACCACAGACTAATTATATATTTTTTTGGCGGGTAATCGGTAATAGATGTTATGTTGGTATTACCTAATAATGTTTGTGTTGAAAGTTTTAATTGTTCTATTATAAATCTTTTATTATGTACTAAGTAAGTGATAAATTAGAATAATAGTCGAAGTATATATGTAGCAAAAGAAATGGAATTAATCTTAAAATCATTCGCATCAAAACTTGCATCGTCAAAAAATCAAACTACGTTTTTAATGCAACTTTTTCTTTGTATTGTTGGTTACTAACCGTGAGTTTCTAAGACCAAAATATCTGTATAAAACATATTGTCATTCCTGTCATTATCATTGACAAAACAGAAACGTTTTAAACGAATATTTGGATTTTTTTTATATCATATGGTGACAAACGAGCGAGCGGCCACCTACAATCGCTGATATAGCGAAGTGACCGTTGCCCATAAACATACGCAATTGCATATGCGTTGCCTACCTTTAATCGACGGAGGAGAGGATACACAGAAAGAAAATATTTTAGCTTTCCATGCATTCTCTCATCCGGAAAGTCCACTTCCACTTACCATCCTTTCCTTACAAGAAAAAAGGTGGGAAGGGAAAGAGGACTTGGATTCGGAAATCCACGTTAAGACTTTTAAAGTTGTTTTTTTGTTATTGCAACGCTTAATTCATTTAATTAATTAATATTAATAGACAACTAAAGCTATTTGAATAAGTATTTATTATAAAAAGATAATCTCTTGAGCAATATATCAATGCTAACCGTTTGTCTATGTTGCAATAGCGTGCAGTAAAATTTACATAACTGCATACAACTCAATACATTGTGACACAAAATGTCTGTCTGTTTGAATATATTGTATTGGTGTAAGTTATGTAAGAGATTTGTTTGATTATTTTTGCTGTAGCACATGCAATAATTAGTATTTAATAGGACAGATAGAATAGTTACAAAATATACTACTTTATATAAGGTAAATAATAAATACACATAAGTATAATATATCTTATTAATAGTATAAATGTGAATGTTTGGATGTATGGATGTTTGTTAGTAGTATCTCCAGTACGGCTGCATGGACCTCGCTGAAATTAAGCATAGATGTAGAACATAGTCTGGAAGAACACGTTGGCTACTACTATTGATGTAAGCAAGATACCAGTTCAGAATTTAGCAATTAATTCCGATAGTTCGTAAAGTGTCTAGTATAGTCATCTCTTGGGTGAATAATAAGTTCCGCTCAAGATTCGACTTTATAAAATATCTAGACGGTTTGTAAAGTGTGGAAGTTCACACATGTTCGGTGACATAAGTTCTGTATAATATCGTCAACAATCAGTCTCGATTAAGTGACGTCTCACGTTCACAGCTTAGATATAGAATGAATTTCACTTTCACTTAACTAATACATTTTCCGTACATGTGCTTAAGTGCAAATACGCTACTAGAATATAATCAACATACACGTTGATCTGTTAAGGAAATCCTTTATAATAGTAAATTTTTAGAAGATTAACATAAAAGAAAGTTATTCCGCCGTTAATTATATTTGTTCACGTATTTTATAATTTAAATAAAGATGGCATAATTTAAAATTTTAATTGATTTAAATATAAAATTTAATTTGTTCTTAAATTTTTTAATATAATATTATAATTTATTTCTATATGGAAGTATTCGTCATTAACATGGTTTGAATATATATTAAATAGTATACTTTTATTTTTATTTTATATCTTTTTAGATATGTGTGAAGGAAATCCGCACTGAGCTAGCGTTGACTATGGCCTAGTCACTCCTAACTTAGGATAGGCTATGAACCTCTCAGTGGGTGTTATAGTGAGTTCATAACTCTATGATAACTGAGCAATGTTAATTGTTTATGGAAGTTCCCATAGTTCGTATTCACAGTATTTTTTACCAACTAAATCTGTGTATTTGCGTGAAACAAAAGGTTAATTTTGTAACTCTCTCGTACAATTTACAATTTGTTCCGTTACTTTGGTTCCGATGTATGAGATGTTTTGTATTCAACAACGCAAACATAGATTTATCTTAGTAATACGGAGAAAATTCTATTATTTTAGAAATTTGCAAGACAAAAGTTAACGGTTAGAAAGAGATGAGTGATGTTCATTTCATTCTATTTTTTTTAGGGATGGGACAACAACCATAAATGCAATATTTATAAATTTAAATGTCATGTAAATACATACATCATTTTTGAGAATCATAACATTTAACTATTAAGATATGTTACAAGCTTATTCACTAATCACGTCTTTTATTTAAAAACTAATGTAAAAAATAAAACTACACACATATTTCGGGTCGGAGTTTTATAGACCAATATTAAAAAATAATCCCACGTACTTACATAATTGTTGATTTCGTTTTTATTTTTTAAGTGCACAACACTAACAAGAAAGTGGGAAACAGTTGTGTAATGCTAAACAATAAATGCGAGTCATTACGCTTGAAGTATAGCCTTGTACAAGTACAATATATTTAGTATCGATCTCGGAAGCTTAAGCGTTAGAAAGTTGCTTTAAAATGTTTCTTTTATAACAATTATAGCCTATAACTGCCATTAATCTGATTTATACTTCCTATATAAAAAAGATTATTGGTACATTGTCATCCTAAAATATGCATCAAATTATTTAAGAAACAAGTTAATAGTGTTTGTTTGTAATATTCAATATTTAGTTCATCTTAACATTAATTTTATTGTTTTTATATGCTAATTTGCATTCTCTTTGTCCTTAGGTTGTTCTTGTGGCCTCACTGGCCGTGGTCGCGTTTGCCACCGAGGAGAAAGGCACGAAACAAGCGGCGGCTGAAGAGAAGAAGCAAGAAAAGAGAGGAATTTACGACACCGGTTCCTACGGCGGTTACAGTGACGGTGGTCACGGTTTCGGCGGCAGCAGCGAAGGTCAGAGCTATGGCGGTGGTCATGAAGGATACAGCTTCGGTGGACAGGAGGGTAGCTTCGGTGGACAGGAGGGTAGCTACGGAGGTCACGGCGGCGAGGAGTTCGGAGGAGTGTCTGGTGACTCGTGGAAACCCATCTCAAACGATGAAGGTCACGGACATCATGAGCATGTCAAAACCATCGAAGTAATCAAGAAGGTGCCCGTCCCTTACACCGTAGAGAAGCACGTACCTTACACCGTCGAAAAGAAAGTCCCCTATGAAGTCAAAGTACCCGTACCACAACCCTACTCTGTCGAAAAGAGAGTACCGTACACAGTCAAGGAATACGTTAAATACCCAGTATACGTACCCGAACCCTATACAGTTGAAAAGAAGGTCCCATATGAAGTGAAGGTCCCAGTCGACAAGCCCTTCGAAGTCAAAGTGAAAGTGCCAACTCCTTACACCGTTGAGAAGAAAGTACCCTACGAAGTGAAAGTACCCGTTCCTCAGCCCTACACTGTTGAGAAGAAGGTGCCAGTTCCAGTTAAATACGAAGTAAAAGTACCCCAACCCTACGAAGTCGTTAAGAAGGTGCCTTATGAAGTGAAGGTCCCCGTCGACAAACCATACCACGTATACGTTCCCAAACCATACCCGGTGACTGTTGAGAAACCTTACCCGGTTACAGTTCACAAGCCAGTACCATATGAAGTCAAGGTCCCGGTCGACAGGCCTTACAAGGTGGAAGTTGAGAAACCGTACCCAGTACACATTAAGGTGCCAGTGCCTAAGCCTTATGACGTGTACAAGAAAATCCCTTACACCGTCGAAAAGGAGGTTCCTTATGAAGTGAAGGTGCCTATTGACAAACCTTACCCCGTGTACAAAGATGTGCCAGTACCTCTAGTGAAAGAGGTTCCTTACCCAGTTAAGGTCCATTATCCAATTTACTTCAAGAAGGAACAGGAACACGGTCATCACGGCTGGCACTAAACTATCGTACTGTAATATCTCACTCAGTACCTTATAGGCTAAGTTGAAATTGTGATCGTTTAGAATTTTCTAGTGTACATATATATCATTGTTAAGATCTTGGTGCTCGCTCACGTCCGTATGGTTGTGATTGAAGATGATTTTTTTTATTGAGAATGTTGAAGATCTGTTGTTACTTATTTAGCTTTTTTATGCTTTGTTTATTTAGTTATGAATTTGGTCGGTGACGAGTAATCAAGATGAGGCTGATCAATTAATAAAATATATTGAAATGTTTGGGTTTGTTTTTTTTCCACTTTTCAGATATTTTATGTATATTGGAAATAATGAAACATTGAAATTTAAAGATAAAAAAAACAGCAGGACAAATTTTCACATTACAAATTAAATAAAGTTAAACACCCTGTGTTTTAGAATCTTCTATCAGGAAATATTTTATTGCATTTAAACATCCGGTCATATGCATTAAAAAGTATGTTAAATTGGTATTGATGTAATAATGACTTAGCATTAAATTATATAACCGAATGATAAACATATTCTATAGTTTTACGAATAAACTAAGAACAAGAACTACTAAGAAAAAGCAAGTAACAATTTAATTCAAATTTTCTCATATTTCTTTAAAAGAATTAATTATCCTCAATATTTGTTCTTTATTAACGTACCAATATTATAAGAATAATATTAAATACATTTTGCTAAGAGTTAAGAATAAGTCAAGTCTAATTGTTAAACAATCTACTCAAAGACTGAATCAATTATATTAACTTATTAGATAGAGAGCTCCAAAAGTTACTGCAACGTTACTACATATTAAGGAATAAGCACCTAATATAAACACAATCCGTGTCACTATGAATTTTACGATCTTTTTTGGTATGCCATATATTGTACTAAAGCTTGGATTCTACGAGTCACCGGCAAATATAATTGGAATGCATCTACAAATGCTTATGGGCAGTCGTACTTCGCTATTTTTTTTGTGACTGAATTGCCACTGTTTGCCTTGAGGAGGCATTTACAGCTTCACCGGGCTTGAGGTGGCCGAGCGCAGATGGCACTTAGCCTAAACCTCGTTTAAGAGTAACTAAGCTCGAGAGCTCCTTCAGGAACCTCGGCTCGGGCCGTTACTTCGTTGTTATTACCGGATTGGTCGTATTTCGCTATTGTAACGAATTTAGTTGGCCACTTTCACATTTGCCACCTTAAAAATTAGAACAATGAATAGATAAAAAACGAATTGACCATTTGTTATGCAAAAGTGTAAGCGTATGACAATTCTCCGAGAAATCTAACATGGATAGTAAAAGTGTAATAAAACTACTACAGTTTAAGTTGCGACATTTAAGTTTGTACTTCATCATAAATAACAATATTTTTTACTGCTCTTAAACAAAAGACTGTAATAAAATAAAATAATCGACTAGCAAACGCTAACTTATCGTTAAGTTATGAAAACTAACCAATATATTGGATAGTTGCTTAATACTTAATATTACTCGTAATGTTTAACTATAATTGGTGCATAACACGATCTGATATGATGTCTATGTTCTGCACTGGTAGTTAAGGCGCAACTGTTTCAAGGCAAATCTTATATTGTTTGGTTTCTACGCTCCCTTGGTTTTTTTGCAACCAACTTTCAAGATGTAGGACGCCTAATGATAGTTTAGAATCAGCGTGTGGAAACACACTGTATACAACATATTACCTTCTCCCTCATTCTATATGAAGAAACTGAGATAATAATATATTTTTGTGTTTGTTAGGTTGGTTATTACTTTCATATCGATACTTAGGAGCAATAAGTCACTGATAAAGCCCTTTAGTATGAATTTGATATTCACTCTTTGAATAAAATCTGTTTAAGCAACAACGAAATAATTTTAGGTGCAACTGATTATTTCTTTGAAAAGAATATTTGAAGAAGATGTTAGAATGATTTCGTAAAAATATTTTTTGATTCGTTAATGTTGAAAATGTTTAATATAATATGTGTTAGAATAATTTGACCTGGTTTCTAATAGAGTACAGTTTAGAATTGTAAACATGGTTATGTAAACTATCGCATACTGACACTGAATTTTCTCGAATGTGAGTATATTTAATGTACATTGCTGCAATAATGTTGGTTATGTAGGGTGACAATCAATTTCATTAAAATATTGGACAATCGTTTTATAAGTTTATACATAAGTCAATCTTTTCATCAAATTTTATTTAAAATTTTCTTATATATTTTCGCTCATATCCGAAGGCATATAGAGTTATTTTGAATTAAAAAAAAGAATTTTTAGTTTAGTAGGTTTTTTTATTAAGAACAGACATACAGACAGACGAAAATTTAAAAAATTGCCCGTTATCAGCAATGCAAATACACGTGTACGAAATATGATACATTTCTATATTACAAACAGACGTTCCAATTTTATTTATATGTAATAGTTAAAGCCAGATAAATGCGCTAAATTATCTTCCTTTTTTTGCAACATGTGGTCACCCTAACGTACTTCGTAACTGTAATGACTAGGAGTTAAATGGAGGTACGTATCTTGACGTCAAGATTATTTAATCACATAACTATAACCTCGTTCATGTATCGATGGCGCATCGTAAACATACTAAATATAGACGTGTTTTGTTTTGTACACATCTTGAAAGGTTATATGTCAGAATGGCACAATACATGATTATTCCTGCTATATGTTTCTTGTGTTTCTTACATAGTTTCATATAAGCTGTAATGTATATGTAATTTCAATAACAAAATGAGACATAACGGGGAACGAACATGGAACTTTTGTTATAGGGACAGGTTGGCAAGGAAAAGTAGATTTGACGGAGATGTGGAGGACATAAAGGGACATATAACCTTCCTGTCTATGTATGTTTCATCCCCTCCGTCGATTAAAGGTAGGTAACGCATCTGCAATTGCGGATGTCTATATGCAGCGTTCGCTTCGCTATTTCGGGGAATTTAAATAGCCGCCTGCTCGTTTACCACCTTATCATTTGTAGAAGTCAATTTAAAGTTGGAATATTTAAAATAAAAATATTCTCTACGTAAAAGTATGTATGTATTCATTTATAGTAAACATTAAATCATATTTCTTCAAGAAATAAAATGAGTATTTTAATATAATTACTTAACCGCACAAAGACTAAGTTTGAATAAGCTTAGTTACAGTTAAAGTTACTTTTACTGGCCAGTGAAGGGCAAAGACCCCACGTCCTTGCAGTTCCATTCACTTTGCAAACATGTATGTATTTGGATGGATCTATGAATCAAATGAGGTCGGCAGAAGTGTTTAGTGCCAACTATGACATAATTTGAATGTGATAAAATAATAGGAAGAGCATAAACGATTAATAAATAAAATGACTTTGATTAAAGCTTGCCATACACGTTATTATTGTTTATTAAAATTATTTTTGATTTTTTTTCTGGACTTCATTACTTAACAGGTTGCGCGATTGTGGGTAACTGTGCTTTTCCACATACAAAAGTGAGATAGAAATGTTTTTTACGGATACATGGGCAGTGAAAACACATCGTAAGAGGAATACCATCGTAGAAATTTATTAGAGACCAAAGTCTTTGTAATTTGTTTTCATTGGTATTTTTTTTTGTTTATTGTTAAATTGAAAAAATTGTACATTGTATAGACAGCTTTATTGATAGTATCGTCCACTTCCACGTATTACGCGAAAGTTGTGCAACTTGTTTCCATATTTGCACGATACATAAACATTTTCAAGTGGAAGTATGAACTAGGAGGCATTGACCTTTGGCTATTTTTGTTAACTATGTATTTTATATCTAGTGACAATGGTAAAAGTTTTAAAGTATATCTACGTATTTTGTTTTTAGTATAGACGGAGAATATTTCAATTTCTTTTAAGTTACTTTTGGCGTTTAATCTCTTTCGTTAGAAGAAGATACTGCTTCAACGCCGGTAAAAAAAAATTCTTTCTCTATCTTTCTATTGCTATCTCCGTCACTCCCATGCAATAAGATGAGACAACACGTTTATGTAAATGGCAGATGTATTACGACTTCATTAGACGATAAGTTTTTAATATCGGAACTCTTCAACAAAAGCATACTTTTATCCCTCTCATTTACCTTGAAGAAAATGAGATGGTATGTTTCGTATGTTTCGGAAGTGAAAATTAACGATTTTTATACAAAAACCAAGTCAAATACAAAGACAATCTAGTCATAAACAAGTGTAAGTCAGCATGCGTAATTGAGTTTTACGTTTTAATTCATAGAAAGTAAATAAAAGCTAAAAATTTTAAAGAATAAATAAATACGAGTCGTAATTACAAGGCCATAAGGTATAAATTATATAAAAGTTTTCGAACCTAAATATATAATTTGTTCAAATGAAAATAAACCAAATTACTATCGAATTAGAGGCCATTTTAGTGTAACAGTTTTATACATCCGTTTGCAAATGTACGCACGTGAAAAAAAAAAGTTTAATTGTTAGGAAAGAGCAACGGACAAAATTGGTCATAGATTATATTATGTATAATAACTTTTTAAACACATTATTCTTGCTTATTTTTAAAATTAAAAATAAATTTATAATTATTTCCAAATGTCGTAATACTAATAATCACATCAAATAATAATAAAAATATTTTATCCCGTGACTTTAATAGACTAAACTCTTTTCAAATAAGTCAATAGACAGATCGTAAGAAATCTTGTCTTTATCCAGGAGATATATAAGAAGAATTATTTTATCTGAGTCCATTAGTAAAATATTGTGAATACCAAACGTAATAAATACCGGTCACGTGCTTAAAACCATAAAGTTGTTTTTATTTATCTATGGTGAAATTTGTATCGATTTATAATCTATGGTTTATCTAGATTTAATTTGTCACTGGCAGGTTGTAAAATGATTTGAATCGATAAAGCAGTTCGAATTTACCAAGTCCTTATATCATTGTTTTTCACTGTTGAATCGCTTGTATACAAACATGTTATGTCGCTTTTTTCCAAAAGAATGAGGACTATTTTTGCACAGTGTTTTGTTAATGTAAACTCACGTTTATACACACATATAACAAAGGTTAATTAATTAAAATATTTATTAATAAAAATGCATTTTTGTCTCAGTGTTAGATCGTCAAGTATTTTTTCCAACTATTTTCTATCAAGCGAATAAAACATTTCATTGTGCGGTTTGTTCGCTTATCACTTGTATTAATCAGGTCGATTAGATTGCTCCATTGGGGTGAATTGGGGTGGAATGGCC